TAAGCAGCTGGTGGACAGAAAATCATCATTGCTGCATTTTGGAAGAAGAAAATTAAAAGAAAAAAAGAAGAAAGAAAAAGGTTTCTATAACTTCATCTACCACGTACCGGCATTCAATTTGGCAGGAGTACTTGAGAAGCTGAGGGTTGTGTGTAGTCTGGCCACTGAATTACCACGGATGGCAAATTATGCGTGAATCGAAAGATGGTTACCATATAAACTTCGATATTTGTTGGAAAACTAACCTAAAGCTTGGAAGTGATATCCTGATCTTAGGACCCATCCAACGGTCACCTGCTTTAGATTATGGCACAATGTTATAGAGCATGAGGCAGATAAAGCAAAACAGAAACAAATAAATGAAGAACAGACTGAAATCACTTTAAATAAAAATTGGTAGCCTATATTAAATATATGTTGATTAATTAGAATTGCACCATACCGATACAAAACAGCTGGGTATATAAGAAGGGACTAAAGGTATCTACCGATGTACTAAGTATTAAACCAATTTATTTATCTGAAAATAGGAACAAAGAATTAAGCCTTTTTATGTCAAAACAACCATGGCAGGAAAATTCAAATGTTACTATTTTGACAGAAGACATCAACCTGTTACAATTGAAATACAAGCTGAATAGTGTGAGTCTGAAATAATTGAGGTGGCATATACAAGTTTTCTTCTGTTTTATTAGATTGAACAGTGTACATCTGAAATAATCAAAGTGGCATGGTCAAAGCGGCTAGGATTTTCTTTAATGACATTATATTGTTAACTCACCAGCAAAAGGTAAACTGATGTTGCAAATGGATGTCTGAGAATAATCCTCCATCTCTAATACTTGAATCTCACTATGTTCTTTTGGCTTAGAGTGAATAAAACTCGTTCTCTGCTTATATAATGGTTGATCTGAAGCTTTAGCGTCTCTCTGTTTTGAACAAGATAGTGAGTGAGAGTACATCAAAAGTCTACAAATCAATTAGTTATTAAACTATGGATATTTTAGAAATAGTCACATTCAGCAAGAAAATAACTGCTTGAATGAGAACAAATGCATCAAATACCCTGAAAAAAAAAGAGAAAAATCAGTGTGGAAAAGGAAAATTCATATGAAAATGATGCATATATTTTTGCATCAACCTTTTATTTGAACCAACGAATATTATCGTTGGTCTTAACGTCATTGGGCTTCAAGCCTGTAATAATTGTATTAAATCCATCCAGGTAAATTTTGATGAACATACCCTTTGATATACACCTTCTGTTAGTAGACACTGCCTCGAGTAGAGCTTGCCGGTGAAAGACTTCATCATGTTAAATAACTCCAATTAATGACACAACCCTGACAGTCATCTTCTCGGAAAACACTTCATTTAGATCCTCGTTAAGGATACGAAACAGCAAGGCAATCAGATCCCTCTAATATAAATCCCCTCTGTTCATTTAAATCTATAAACATCTCCTTTCCTACCAGAACCTTATGCCAACCATGTAGTTTTGAGATTGCCTGCATCTTGACCTGCCATAGAGCAGCTATGGTGATGTGATAAACCTGGAAGAGAATCCTAGCATGTACAGGCGCAGCAAATAAACCAAAGCCACTCTAGGTGATCTGATGAGCAACAATAATAATCCATATACAACCTGATCTCAATACAACAACTCCAATTATGATTATGAATAGTCGAAAGCTTATGTATCAAATTCCAGATAGTTAACCGTTAGGAGTCAACATCACTAAATATTCTGTTCTTGGAAGTCCCGTAGATAATCGGATACCAGCAGCTCACAAACATTACAATATGCACTTTGCACATCATCAACAATTTCAACTTCCCTTGCTGAATTCAGTTTCACTCGATCCGTTACACCAGCTAAGAACTTGAACTTGAAAACTGTTGCAACACCAACATTTGCTGCATAAACCGATTCACTGTCCGAATAAGAATTTCAAAGATAGTTACCATCCTGTATCAATGCAAGTTAATTTGGTCAACCGTATGTCCTTTAACAAATAGGACTAAATTATGACCAAATTTCCAACAATTTAACCCATATAATGAAAGAGATCTGTTTGTTGGTTGGCATATCCATCGTATGATCAATTTCTACCCCGATTTCCTTTCTACAATTTCGGCTCGAACGGCACCATTCAGAATTAGTGTCTCCTCTAAACGTAAGGCCTGACTCTATCCCTCTAAATGCAACTTAGTTCTTTAAAGATTGCATGGAACTGTGGATTTCTGAAAAATATGAAGAATTGAAAATTGATGTAAATGCAGATCTGTACCTTAGAGAAAATAGCAACATGGCTTGGGAGACCTATTTCCTACAATAGCATAAATGACAACGCTTAGATCAATCAGACAGTAACAGAGAACAAACAAATAATGCAGGGATGGTCCTCCATACCTTCCTGCCATGCCTGCAAGCCTCGTGACTGTTCACAAGCACTCTAGAAGCCCACCTTGTATCAAATAAGACCATATATGAGGGACATTATATCAAAATCAATCAATCCATTTTGCAACTTTAATTCCTTAAATGCACCAACTAAAGAAAGGGAAAAGAAAAAATCATTACGCGCATGATGTTGGGGGATTCCACACAATGCCAGCAATCACAACGAGCTGCAAACAAAATAAATCTGGGAGATCAGTGGTACTAAAATTAAAAGGAGCTGCATTACCGTCTAGTTTAAATTTTCTTTAGACGATTAAAACGAAGGCCTCGTTATATCATAATCTTAGCCAGCTAATTAACAAGTCCTCCATCATCCAAACTAAAATGAATTCTCCTAATGCAAGCTCTGTGCATGGAAACAAGAATTGGAATCTTAAGTGAAAGGAAGAGAACAAACCTCATCAAACACTCCAGCCGGGCTGTCATCATAGTGAGCAAGAAACAGCCCACCTAGCGTATACCTATAGAACAAACAGAGGGTTTCGATACAGTAAGGTCATGAAAGTCCAGTTCAAACTACATGATACGATTCTGTGAACAGTACTCTCAATACGCATAAAAATAACATCGTAAGACAGGTTACATGATTACCCAAATGCTTCAACTAGCTTCAGCTCCTTCGGAATGAAAGCCCGAGCGATTTCTGCTTTAACCAGATGCAACTGGTACAATGCTCTACAAATAAGAAAATGTGCACCATTATACACAGTACCAAAGTATCGCTAACACACATCGAACAAACTCTTCTGAAGAAAAAATAAAGCAAAAAAGTGGCGAAAGCCTCACCTTCCTCTAAACAACCAGGGCGGCCCAATGCCATAACCTGAAGGAGAAGACGAGTAAGAAGTTGTTGCTGACTCTCCCATTGACGCCCGGTTCAACTCTAAGTAGCTCTAACTTCATCTAATCCGGTACCTGCATTGGGCGCAGATGCAACCAGAAATCAGCAATCCTCAAAGAGGTGCATTCAGCGGTCACAACAAAAGCACAGAAGAGACTAAACCCTGTCAAATACAACAGATTTATCAGCAAGAAAATCCCAGAGAGGAATCTGAAGCAAGAAGCTGAACCATTTCATCAACACTGAGTCTTCCCGGGCCAGAAAGCTTGTTCAAACGACCTATCAAGCTAAATATCCACAGAAAAATCTTCAGTAGGAATGGAGCAATATTCCACCCATAGGAGCAAAAGCCCAGGAGAGGGAGAACATGCATGTGGAGTTCGTACACGGCAGCCAAATCAATGGGAAATTCCTCACCTAAGGTTTAACCAAAGGCCGAGGAAGTACGAACTCTGTGTCAGCGGTGAGAGAGAGAGACAGAGAGAGCAAAGAGCAGAAGCAAGCTGGAAAGATAGGAACGAGTGGCTCCTCAGTTAAAGTGGGGCTCCGCGTTGGGATTTGGTGGATTGAGTTAGTCACAGATGGCGAGTGACGATTGGGTGCCACATATCCGTATCTCATTCCCATGCTCCGGTCAGCCCACCCCACTGACAAGGCGTGACTTCACGGCGGCTCTCCACGTGTCGTCGGCCGATACGGACGTGAACCGAACGACTGCGGGGCCCAGGTTTTATTATGGATCCTCTCGCCCTTTTGACACGACCCGGCCCGCTTTGGCCCACGTGTTCGGAGCCTGTCACGATACCGTCGACATGATAATATTAAATAATACCACAATTTTTTTGTACTTATAATAAACGATGATGATAATGTTTGATATTGCTCGCAGTAGTACATCGCTTCATCATTGTATCGGTCAAGTCAACATTATACCATATAGTTTAAGACTTCCCCTACTCATGGTGTACTCACTCACTCGAGTGAGCGCCAAGTACCATTCATTATTTGCCACCTCCAGAAAGTGACGTTAGTCGTGTACAACTCGCTTGGTTAGGGACTCAAAAGTCGCCATCTTTGCCGAATCCATTTGCAGACCGAGAGTTGAAAAGGTCTCGTAGTTAAAGTCTCAATATATATATAAATGAAGGTGGAACGATGAAGGTTAAACTCGATGCATCGCAAGAAGAAACATGGGCGGTACTGAGAGCAATCTGAGATCGATCCACAGTCCAAAAAAAAGATGCTATATAATCCATTTGAGATAATTAAGAGATTTTTTTTGAGGTATCCGCACCATCATTCTTCAATCTTCATTCTTCATTGGATGGGTGATGTGACAGGTCCATATCATCCCAAGGTGTGGTGACAGCAGAGCGTAGCGTGTATCCTCATGGAATTAGGGGCTGGATCATGATCGGTCACGCCTCGCACAGTAATAACTACGTCACACCAACGCATGGTCATGTACGTATGCTGAATATTACAACATATACCGATGTTTCATGCGTGCGCTAATGGTGTCACGTTCTCGTATGATCACATGCGGGCGTTCACAACATGCTGCAGTAGACCACCTTTCCTTCCATGGTTTTATCTTGGTGAAATCCGGCATTCAACTCCGTTCTTTCTGTGAAAATACATACTTCTCTATGAGATCGTATGATGGAGAGCAGAAGCGAAGCAGCAGGCCGTCTGCTCCAGCTCTTGGCATCCATGGAAGTGAGAGGATTGGTTGGGTCCGAGAAGCTCGCTGTTGGCCTGCGCTGTTTGGTTACGTTAATTTGCAGACGTATGCTGCCCGGCTGTTCCAAAAGGGCCTCTATAAGACGCACTGTAACATTAATTCCATATGACAGCCTGGTTTCTCGTCCCCCGACTTTAGAAAGAGAGGGGTCCCTCTCTCTCTCCAAAACCACCACAAGTCTCTAACCAATGCTCAAGCACCAAAATTCCTCCTTTGAATCTCCTCCCGTCTCTAATATTCTAATTTTAAAGACCTCCGGTTGTCAATCTCTCCTTTCTCTCTTCCCTTGTTCGTATTCCTCTCTCTCTCTCTTCTCTCTCTCTCTCTCTCTTCTCTCTCTCTCTCTCTCTCTCTCTCTCTCTCTCTCTCAAATGGCATCTTTGATGGCTTGAAACAAACTATAGATATCTCCGTTTATGATATTTGCACCCTCCATCCAAGCAAAATGAATCAGGATGTGCTTTGGAGGATGCGGGAAATTTTGCTTTGAGATGTTCGACGGTGGATTCGAAGATTCAGCTTTGCGTTGAGCAATCGCACCAGCATCCCCATAGAGGTATCGTCGCACCGTATATGATCTCCATTTTTCTTTTCACCAGTAATACTTGTAGATTTGATATATATATATATATATTTTTTCAATTAAATAAAAATAATGTTAGAATCAGGAAGACGTTCAAATTCGTTTAGACGGCAAGCCAAACAATTTCCGCAAGAAGAAGGCACGACTAACATATTCTTTGTTGTTGTTCTTGCTCAATTCTCGGTTGCAAAAAGGGTTTGTAAGTTTGAGTTATACCTTCTCCTATGGCAGCCAAGGTGAAAGGGTTCTTTAAAGGATTCAAACACATGTCGCAAATCTTTGGTAAATGTTCTTAGACTTTTCTCATTTATTATTTATATTTCACCTCTTAAGGGTCAAAATATGGTTGATTAAGTCAAAGAGAATATTTCTTTTGATCCTCTCGGGCAGTTGACAAAGAGCATGAAATGGAGATTGGCTACCCGACGGATGTGAAACATGTAGCACATATAGGTTGGGACAATGGCTCTGGGTATTCCCCTAGCTGGGTAAGAACTGTGTAGCCAAGCGTGATTCACCCTCATTACAATTGCATTTTCTAATCTATAAACCTTTTATTTGTCTTGGTCAAGTACAGATGACCGAATTCAACACATCCTCTGATCTGTCACCAGCACGCAATTATGGGAAATCCAGGGAGCCGTCTTGCTCTTCTCAAGGTATGTCTTACCTCTCATTGCAATTCTGAATACAGCACAAATATTTTGGAGATGTAGATGAATCTGTCATAAAAAGAAAACTAAACGAGAAATATGTTTGGAAAGAAAGAATAAAGGAAGACATCACCACATATATCTTTGATTGCACAACAACACAACATCCTTTAATACACTTCTTGGGTGAGAATAAATGCAAATCTGTACTGCCAAGAGCAGCATTCATCAAACTGCAATGCTTTCAAGGGTATAAATATATAAATAAATATATATATTTATTTATGTCATGTATCTAATTCAACAAACCTAATGCACTAACATTTTTTGCAAGTGTTAATACGCTATTAAGAGAAGATTACAAATTGCAAGTGCTATCTGTTATATGAGATGACCTCGACGCGCTTGCAACAGAGTGTCATCAACCGAGAGGACCCCAACTCTCGCTTCGGCCAATCGAAGATGGTAGTAGTCAACCTGAGGTTCCTAAAGATCGCAAGAAAAAGCGGAAAAAACATAAAGCTTCTTCTCCTCGATCATCTGCCACAAGATCTTCAAAAGTGTCATCCAAACTGAGAGCTTCATATGCCAAAGCAGTCGGAGATGATGCTGAAGCACAAGACCAACGTCGTGGAGTTTAAACTACATATATTTGTATATGTCTCTTGTTTTAATGTGATAAAAAGAGAAAAAAGATGTACCTTTGTGGTAAAGATTTGGCCATGAAGTACTGTTTAAACTTGGTTATCTGTCTCGGAATAATTTGATTCGCCAACTGAACTCTAGCAGTTCTATAGACTACTAGGGTTTCGTTGCTACTGCATCACTTTAACTCCAGCCTGATGTTCTATGTGGTGAAGAGAAAGAGAGAGAAAATCTAGCAGTGCCATAGATTATTGCTACTGCATCACTTAACTCTAACCAGAAGTCCTATCCGGTGAAGAGAAAGAGAGAGAAAATCTAGCAGTACTATAGACTACTATGGTTTCGTTGCTACTGCATCACTTAAACTCTAACCTGAAGTTCCATGTGGTGAAGAGAAAGAGAGACAAAAGAAAAGAATAGGAGATGAGAAGGTCGACTGAGAGCTCACAAATGTGATGTATAAATTCGATTATTTGGTACGTCCCGTAAGTATTGGATGCATATGTATACTTGAAATCAACTCGGTGCGCTTGATGTTCCGTTGATTATTTGGATCGTAATTGTTGGTACACATGTATCGGTTTCATGTGAATGCAAGTGGAAGCCAATGAAATACTCCATAAAGGCCTCATAGTAGATGATGCTAATCCAAACAAGAAACAAGAGGAAGAGAAATCCATGGAGATGGAGAAGCTGGAAAGTAGTGCTTCTGAGACCATCTTATGATCAGTATTGTCCTTTTATATTGGGATATATCAGCAATGGAGCTATCTTACTTGAGATGTTGTTGAGCCTTAAGGATGATTTCCCAGCAGTGAAGCATTCATTTACAAGTGAAGTTCTAATCTGATAGGATTAATTGATGAGAATGTTCATGACAATAAATATATAGCAATGCAACCGGATGATTAGAATGGCTCTGCGAAAAACCAAATGAGTCACTCTCCAACATTTATAAGAAAAATAAATTTAAATTGAAAAACATTTTGAAATTTTAGTGCATGGATGCAACACTGGCCAAATATGATGATTGCATTATCGAAAACGTAATGGATGTGGATTTATATGAATCTGGTGATTATCGGATCCGGTACTTTAACGTAGTTATCGGGCGAAGCAGACACTGGGTGGCTGCAGAAATCCGACCTAATCGGATGGGGTAAGGCCTGGTGGCCGGTCCGTTTTCTCCGGTTCTTTGTCGAGTTGATCGAACCCGGTCCGCTGTTGTTATTTAAGGTGTTCGTTTTTCATTCGCGGTGAGTAGTGGGAGAGAGGGAGGGAGAGATGGAGGGGATCGTTGTGGGGATTCTTTCGATGCTTCTGGTGTTCGCTCTCATCCCACTGCTTTGGTGGAGGAGACGTCAGGTCGCTCGTTCCCCTCACGACCACGAAGATGAACCGCAGCCGCAACAGGTGATTCCTAATCGTTCTTGATTCTTCATTCGAGGTCTTTTATTTTAGGGTTGTCCACCGTGTTTAGATGTGCTTAGGAAGGATCTTTTGGAACGGGATTTATCATCGGACGCTTTATCCGGGCCATCATCATTCGATTGGAGCTTCTTTTCTTGTTTGAGGAAACTTTCGATGGAATTCTCGAAGAATCATTGCATGATTGATGGAAAATTTGTAATTTCTCGAGAACGATTTTGTCTTGGAATATTAAAACTTGTTGACTGTGATTTAGAAGAAGGGGGAAAAATCGAACTAGAAGAGATCTGGCGTCGCCTTTGTTTACATAGGGTTTTCAGGATTCGTTGGAAATTTGGGGTAGTTCCGCTTCTTGATATATTGACCTTAAATTTCACCTAAGACATGGTGGCTGTGTAATTTGTTTGAATTTCTTGAGACGAAGCTGGTTAGGAGCATCCGAAACCTAGC